TAACAGAGCGCGTAGGGGACGGCGTTATATACCTAGGGAGGAGCGAGTATGCCCTTGCTGCGGCAATGATAGCCATATCGAGGATGAGAAACACATTTTGCTGGACTGTCCGGCGTACGACAAAATCAGATCTGATATGGGCTTTCCACGCTTCGAGCATATGAAGGACGCTATGAAGTGGGAACCTGAACGCCTGGCAAGGATGCTGGAACGCATATGGTCCCACCGCAACTCGATCGTTCCCTTTGGTCGTTAGTATCCTTCATCACTTGTTTCGTTGGAAGTGCGAGGTAGGATGGTGCTTATAGGCGATTTGGCAGCCCTTGAGCCCTCGGCTAGTACTAGGGTGGTTTGCAGGTACGGGGAACGCACCCACGACCGTGTAACAACAACAACAACATGGAAGGAATGCAAGGACCATGAGCTATCATTGATGACGAATTGACGTCCACACCCATTGCCGGTCATACGCAGCCAATCGATCAACATACGCACCAGCCGCAGTGCAGAAAACATCTGGGGAATACCACTGGGGATTAGCTGATGCGAGTTGCACGCAATACTGGACATGCACCGCTGTGCTTTGCCTTTTGTTGCACGCTCGCGCGCATCCGGCTTCCGTTAGAAGTTATAAGGCGCCGTCAGCCACTCACGCACCATGCCAGGGTGGCGCCATCATTCCGCCTCCACTTCTGCAAAGTCATGACTGGGACCGCGGCTTTCCACACATTCCCAACGTGATTTGGAGCACGTTGCCCATCAGCACGTTGCCCATCCTGACTGCCAACATCCAGCACGACAGCAATGGCGCCGCCATCGGTGCCAACAACGCCCCCTAGTGCGTCCACACCGCGCATTGGCATGGGAGGCTGGGAGCGGAGACATAAGGACCTTGGACGCTGACTGCTGGGATCCGCAACGAAGCTGTGCGCAGCAATCATTTGTATTGCCGCTGTGGCGAGTACTTTTTTGGCGATCTGAATGCACAAGGCTAGTGCCCCCAAAGTGTAATGCGATCGAATATGTCTCGGTGTTGTGCGCGCAGCTACCACTGCCAGCTACTAAAGGAGCTGTCATAAGGGTGCATGCCTGACACGTTCGCGTAACCGTTGCCGCGCGCATCACGTGTCAGATGGTTGGCGTGATGAAGGACTTAACTGGCTCCAACAGACTACCGCTTGGTGTGGGTTGAGCTTGGGGAACATGTTGCCTGGGTTGAGCTATTGGATTTCGGTTGGGATGTGCTGGGCAAGGATTAAAGTTATGCCTGCCACGTCGCACAGTTTTGCGACTATTGCTCGGACGTCTTCTGCGTAACAGCTCGCGCAAAGCCCCGGAAGCCCTGGAATCGTCGTCAGCTGCTGAGGCCATATCGCCTACGATTACTAGCGCAGGAAGCCTTACGCTGTACCCCAAGAGGCCATGGGCAAGCTCGTCCTTTGTGTCTGCCGCCATCCGGCCGCTCGCAACTAAGTTGCCTCATCAAGCTGGGCGTGTTGGGCCAACGAAGCGTCCGGAGGGGTGCACGGGCAAGGAAGGGGGACAGCACCCAGGATGAAGTTACAAGCTACCAGGTCCAGGTCGAAGGGCGAGCCTGCCTGAACCTGTTCCTGATAGCATGTGCACCTGCGGCCCTGGGGACTTTGGAGCACACGAAGCAACGAGGATTGACACAACATCAACGGGTTTCCTAGAGTTGTCTCTTGCCTTGATGGCTCCTTCAAGCCTGTAGGTGTCGTGGAGTGCTTATCTTTGCTGATGGCACGCCGTACATTGATTGCAAGTAATTTTCAAGTACAGACCCCGTTGGCCAGTCTTGCCAGTGTATGCAGTACCTAGACTCGTAAGGTTTATGTGTGGGCCTGGCTTCCACATACACAAACCCAACTGGACTGCCTCATGGGTACATGGGTTTCCCCTGGGTCACGTAAAGCACTGCATTGCACTTGATCCCCAACCGAGACCACCTCCAGCCCGAATCACCCATAGATACAAATCAGGTTCGATGCGCAAAACAAAACAGCTTTCAGTGACACACGTACCCTACGTGCTCTCATGTATGTACATGTTTGGCACGTGTTTGATCGATGGGTATGCCTTTCCCGTTACGACAATCTGGTAAGAATGAATGCTGTTACAGTGAGGATCGTCGTGCACTAACCTCACCCAACAATGTAGGGCCGAAGCCAGGCCGCGCAAAACCCGTAACCGACCACAAACACACTTCTGTACAGCTCTACTAGGGGTTAATCTAAGGATAGGAGGGGTTCGGTACCGAGATAAAGATTGCTCGGGAGGTTTTAGCCGACACAGGGTGTGCCTATTAGCTGACAACCACCACAGCAAGCCGGTTCGTATGTATGCTAGTAGGTGACACTGCGGTATACACACGTGCGTGGTTGCAACCCGCCAACCAAACCAACATGCGACCTCCGACAGGGGACCAAGGGGCAGTGGTTGCTGTCTTCGCGGGGTGGGAGAAACAGGAGATAACAGAATGGCCGTCAAAAATGCACCGAGAATGCGTTTTTCTTTGGGCAGTAAAACGGCCCGGAACCCACATAGAAGATTCCACCGCCGCCGTAAGAAATGACATTAGCTTGCCGATAAAACACTTAAATAGTCTCAAGATTTTGTCTAATAGCTGATCGAGTCAGCGGGGCTAAAAATGAGCTAAGCATTCCTAAGCAGGGGCCCTAAGCACTCCTAAGCAACCTTCGGGGACATGCACGGCATCTGTGAGGTATCCAAACAGTTGCGTGCGCGAAATTTTTTAGGAAAGGCTTCCCAGGGTGATGATGGTCACACAGCGACTCTTTTTGCAGATTATACAAGGACGGAGGACGAATGGTGTGGCCAACGACCGTCGGATACCAAGGCGGAACCCAACCCAAGAGGGCGCTGACAATGTCACATACAGAGGCCCGACGCAAAATTACTAGAAGCCCTCTATGCCTATTAGAATTTCCATGCTTTATAAGGGCGTCGACACATACCCGGTCTTCTCACCTAGAAGTAGCGCCCTGTTGTGCAAACCAGCAAGTGGCACAACCAGCGTTCAGACAACCTACACACAGAGACCATGTTATTAACTATCCTGACGAAACGTCGGGGTAGCGCCCTGAAGGTCGTTTCCTGCCGTAGTTGCGGCAGTTGAGTGCGACGTCGATGTCAGACTCGAGCGTTTCGTGTACCGGCCGGTGCCACAAGGAAGTTACTTCGAAGTTGGGTTGTCAGGTTGCGTTACGGCTGTTTTGCCATCATGGAGCCGCTGGCCCTGTCAGCCCTGTTGGAGGCCAAACAGGTCAGCTGCCCGGGGGCCGTCGAGGCCTTATAAGCCTCTGGAAACGGCCGGCAACCGTTCTCCTCGACAAGTGACAGCCACACTTATGTGAACACGCGGCGCATCCAACCTCACACAAAGACAGAAGTGCGGACAAAGCCTAGCTATCGATGCGCGTATCTGTTCACTTGGGGATGCAGCACTAATGCGCAGCAGCTAAATGCGGGATACACATCCAAGATTAAGCATGCGATTGGCGAGCCAACACCTTATTCGTGTTGGCGGGCCAGTTTGTAATTCTTGTACCGGTGCCTGCTCTTTTACGCGTGTCCACGCGAAAGCTCAGCTGGTTAACGTGATTTAGGTTTTCCACACCAAGGTTGGGGCACGTGGATACAGTACAGTACCTGTCGCCTAGCCCACGGGAACCAGTACACTTACCTTCAAGTTTCTTTCTTGATGTCCAATGCATGTCATGGTTACCTTGCGATTGTTTGATTCTAGCAAGATTCGGTCCTGCAAGGTTGAAATGAGCTAGAGGCTGGGGGCTATTGGTAGCTCGGTGCGTACAAGAATGCCAAGACAATAAATTTTACAAGATTAAGTTGTGCTCAGTTTGCATGCTCTGTCTCCGCAAGGCGGTTTGGTGAGGCACTAAGGCCGAACTCGGAACCGTAACGACTTTGAAAAGTAATCACACCCAGCTGCACTAGGGAAATAGAAACACAATTTGCCAAAGTATTAGAAGCAGGGAAATGTCAACAATGGTGGTCGCCGTACATGCTTGTGCAAGAGGCCAGACACCATCTTCACCCGAAAAAGCTAGAGACTAATTAGCATTGTGGAATAAAGGAGGCGCACACTATCTGATGGCGATAAGCACTGTGTGTCTTTTGCTCCTGGGACCTTGTTCCTGCAGACGTTGCTGGCTCGCAGCTTAGTATCCACCCAGCATTACCTTCATATAGGAGTCCATGTTCATTTTGTCTGCCAGGACATATGACACGGTCTGTGACCCGGTAGTACCAACCGGTGACACTGGCACGTGCATGAAGTTCGCACAGTATCGTTAGTCCTCACGGCGCATCACGCTTGCTAGATGAGTAATCATACAAGCTCTTCACTAGGTTTAGCGGAGCTTGGAACTGGGAGCACTGGCGGCTTTGGCGGTTTTGACGTTGGGGCCTTCACTGGGCCTCAACACGTGCTCCATCCTCTGCGATTAGGAGCAGCCGTCGGCTCAGGAGCAGAAGGATCAGTACAAACCTTTAATTCCTTTTATACGCACATGTCTGGCGCCGCCTCGACGGGCGGAACTTCCACCAGCGCAGTCGACAACACGCCGACGTCACTTTTTTTCCATTATCCTTTGTGTAGGGGTAGGTTGTATTACACGTAGTACTAGGATGTGCGGTTGCTTAGGAGTATGATGCTCGGTGTTTGCTGTCGCTTCGCCATGTAACACACTTATGGCTTTTTTGTCTGTTGGAACATTTTAGTAAATCAGAGACATTTGTTTGGCTTTTTTTGCTTGGCCCCAGGAAATGTACCACCTGCACGCTGGGCGCATGCAGCGGCCGTTCTGGGCAGCGTGTTATGGGTCTACGGTGGGGTTGGGAACTCCGTTTTGGATGATCTCTGTGCTCTTGACGCCGATACATTGTCGTGGAGGATTGTCAGCACTCATGCCGCGCGCAGCAAGGACCGACCGGAGAAAATGTTAGGTCATGCTGGTGGGTGCAGTTGTTGCCGCCTGGAAAAAGGGCCCGCCGGTCCCCGGCTGACTTGCATGAGGTTCATTGCACGGTAAATACACTTGCAATTAGCTCGCGGCTGAACGCGCCCGATATTCACCCTGCCGGTGTGAGCCTACATCGCGTCACCCCATTTAGCCTTCCTTTTCCTTCGCGCATTTCCCCTTTGTGTCCATCCCTTACCTTCCTAAGTCCCTCTTCTCGTGCACATGCGCCGGCTTACAGGCCGGCACAACACCGAGACTGTGCGCATACAATCCATCTCCCATCATCACCTGCATGCCCGCATCCCCCTACCTTGTTATACCCAGCTGCCGCAACCGGGAGCAAGATCTGGATATTCGGGGGACAGCAGGGCCGTAAATTCTTGCGGACACTGTACTGCTTCGACACGGAGACATGTACGTGGACACGACGTGACACGGACTCGATGCCGCCGGCCCGTGCTGGCCACTCCATGGTAACCGTCCACGGCAGCGTCATCTACATGTTTGGTGGGCAGGGCAAGCGCCTCTACAACGACCTCTACAAATTAGATCCGATAACAGGCATATTTACCGAGGTGGAGGCATCTGGCAAACCCCCAACTCCGCGCCGAGGTCACAGCCTGGTTTGGGATGGCCGAGATTACCTCGTCTGCTTTGGCGGTATCAACCAATCGTCCACGGACTCGCAGCTATCGGTGTTCTCGCTCTCCCGAGGTGCGTGGTTCACGCCACAGGCGTTTGGTCCGGCGCCCTCTGCGCGAACGCAGCACACGGCACAGCTGTTGTCTCCCGGTGTCATCCTCATCTTTGGGGGGTGTAACAGCTCCGGCACGTTTTTCAACGACGCGATCGTATTGGACACGCGCACCTTTACGTGGCACAAGCCCACGCTGCTTAACACCGCGCCTGCGCCACGCTACCATCACACCTGCTCTGTCGTCAATGGCCGGATCATCATCTATGGTGGTATCAACAGCAAACAGACGTTTGATGGCGTCGTCGTGCTTGAAACGAAATTTCTGTCGGACATAAACAGCGTGGCGGAGGAGCTCTTTCGGATGTCCGCGGATGCGACCTCTGCAGCGTCTTTATTTAACGCGGCCGCGGCAGGCGGCGGTGCCACCACCGCCGCCCTCCCCGCTGGACTGCAAACCAGCACCGCGAACAGTCCTGTGAATATGACCGGGTCGACAGGGGCTCGATTAAGCGCCGGCCCGTCAGTATTGTCATCACAGATGCAGTCAACGGCGCAGCACCAGCACCCGCCGGTGCAGGTTGTGCCTCAGCCAGGGCCAGCGAGTGAGCTGGGCTTCAGTAGCAGCAAGTCCCTGGAGGCTGTTAAAATCCAGCTGACTGATCTGTTACTACGGAGAAACCTAGAGGAGCAACAGCTGCATACCGCGAAGAAGGCTGAGGTAAGGGAGGCGTTGGTGGCATCCTTCCCTGGCCTGGAGATTAGCAAGGGGCTGCCGTGTAACGGATGGGGGGAGCGCGCATATTTCAGGTCACCTGGAAACTTGGTTTTTCTCGTGCCAACTCGCTTGGGTTGGCGAAAAGAGAGATTAATGTTCATGGTCAGGTGCGATTTTACAGTACGTAAAGGAGAGGTGTTGAGCGTCGGGTGGGGTGTTGAGCGAGAGGTGTTAAGCGTCGGACTTAGTGAGAAGCCTACAACGCGTGTCAACGTAATACGGGCTGAGGCATGTGTGCTACGCGCAGCCATGTCACCTTGCATTTCTCTTCTCCTGTTTTCTCTTCTCCTCTTCTCTTCAGACCACTGAGTCGTTACTAATAAAGGAGCGGGAGGCACGCGAGGCGGCAGTGAAGGAGCTCCTTCAATTCAAGCTCCTGTTGGCGGAAGCGGAGTCGGCGCAGGCGTCTGCGCAGCAGGAGCTTCAAGGGGCGCTTGCCAAGGCAACTCGCGAGGCTGCTGCTGCAGCTGAGCTGCGCTCCCAGCTTGAGGCGTTGCAGGTGCGCGCTGGTGTCGGACAACCCGCAGCCGGGCGTCCCTTTCTGAAGAACACTATCACAATAGGAAACTTATCATCCGTGTTGTTTTCCCTTAATTTACCTGTCGGTGCTCGTTTCTGCAAATTTGACATGGCGTTTTAGGCAACCTCGCGTCCGTGTCGCTCGTTTCGAAGTTTCCATACGTTTCACCGTCCCAGAGGGCACCGTTTGGCTTTTCCCTTGGTCGCCTGGCTGCCCCTGGGTCCGAGCACCTTACAATCTCACAAGCAACCACACCTCATGGCACTTTTGCAGAGCAAGCTAGCAACACGCGAAGAGGAGCTGCAGGAGGCCCGGCTGCTGCAAGATGGCCTTGTGAAGGAGCTGGGTATCATGGCCTCGCGCTACAGCCGCCTAGCGGTGGACGTCCAAGAGGGCGCGGAGCGCGGGGGGCCCGGCGGCGGCGGGGGTAGCGCCGGTGACCGTGGCGGCGGCAGCAGTGCTGGCGACCGTGTCAGCCAGCAGCACCACGCCGGCAGCAGCTGCACGCGACGGTCCAGTCTCAGCAGCATGTTGGCGCACGCCACCCACGGCTCGGGCGGCCTGGCAGTGCGTGGCTTGGGCGGCTCGCCTAGCATCGCCCGCGAGGCAACGGCCGTGTATCCGGTTTCTAGCCTGCAGATGGGCACAGCCAGCAGCAGCATGGTAGCCAGCGCCGGTGGCAGCGTCCTCGCCGGTGGCAACAGCGGCATTGTGGACGTGCTGCAGGCCAGTGGCTGCTACAGTGTACCTCTTCCGGGTCACAGCACCGCCTCGATGCTCTCCTCCCGCCAGGTAGCACCCGCGCTCTCATCCCACTGCACTGCCACGATACGCACCAGCGCCAGCCAGTCCGCGATCCCGCAGTCCACCACGCCGACAGCCTGCGGTAATTGCTGCCAGCAGCTGCTTGCTCTCCTCTCCGAGGCCGAGGTACATCGCGCCTCGTTACTGGATTCTAATCAGGGTCTCAACGAGAAGGTGGAGGAGCTCACGGCGCAGAATAACATGCTGTATGGGCAGCTGCAGCAGATGCTGGCGGAGGGTGGCGCGTTGGAGCCGCTGTCGGTGGGAGAGCTGGAGGAGCTGGAGCGGAAGCTAGACAGCAGCAGCCGCGCGGTTCGGGCCGCGCTGACACAACGCAAGATTGATGAGGCGCAGCGGCGCAGCAGCACGGAACAGGCAGCGTGCGCGGTGTGCATGGAGGGCCCTAAGGCAGTGGTCTTCAACTGCGGCCACCAAAGCTGCGAGCCGTGCAGCGTCAAGATGACAACGTGTCCGTTCTGCCGAGTGCAGATCACGGCGCGGATCCGACTCTTTGATGCCTGACCGTCGCGTCTGGACAGTGCAACGCAAAGCTGTTGAGCGCCGGCAATGCAACGGTCGTCCGTGCGGTGATTACACACACCGCGTGGGAGCAGGCGCGCACGGTAATCCGTACTATGCAGGCTAGATTGGCCTGTGCTTGAAGGCGGTTGTGTGAGGTGCTGTCGTTGGAACGCATGCTTCGGAGATTGCAGTTCTTCAATGGATGGACGTGTCAGATAGGCAGCGGCACATGCCGCATTAACGTTTTAGAGAATGTGGCCTTCTTTACTGTGGGCTCCAAGTCTGGTAGAAGAAATGGACCCGTGAAAGGGGGAAGCTAGCAGTTCAGGTTAGAGACTGGTGGGTAACAGGGCCGTGTTGCGCCCTCTGTTCAAGTTGGGCTTCTTTTCTGTTCGGATGGATATTGCCGTGGAGGTGGAACACAGCGTGCACGGATGGATATCAACGGGGCGCTGCACCACACGTACATGGGTGGCCCAATAGGGGGCAGATTTGGCTTGGCAGGCTGGGCCAGCGGGGGAGGGCCTCAAGTGCAGGGTCACACTCCCCTGCCCGGCTGTGACCTTGCCGGATGCCCCGATGCTAAATGATACATCGACATGCAGAAGTCGCTACGCTGTCGGAGCTACACGGAGTGAAGGATGCTGCCGTGTCTGACACGTATGGACGTTGTCAGGCGAGGCGGTACTGTGCAGTCTCCGGCTTATTCACTTGACATCGCAGGGTTTGGGCCAGGCGGCCGGCTAGGGCCGCGCTTAGGTATAGGACGTGGCGCCGCGCACACTGTGTGTGCATGTGCGCTGTCACCTGTCCTGAACTGAATTGAATCGCATTGGATGAACCGTAACGCCAATGAGTTGATATTGTTTGACGTCGAAGGGACGGGCTACCCCAATGCGCTCGCCCACGTATGTTATTTGGCTCAGCGACGGCTGGGCTCGTGAAGAGCGCAAGGGCCAGGCAAGGCGGGCGGGGCAAAGCAGGCAGGATAAGGTAGAGGCAGGGGCCGGACCCCACCGGCAACTGACAGACGCCGCGCTGCACCACGGGTCACCTGTAGAACAGATCTTGTTAGGCAGCCTGGAAGCCGTCCCCAAGTGTGGTGGACTCTGTTGATAAGGCTCCGATGTTTAGGTGGGCGCGCGAGTATGCACTGCGCCATGTACGCTTTGCCGATGAGTTTGGTGGTAATAGGAAAGGAACTTGTTGCTTCGACGGTTTTGGTTTTGGGTTCGCATGCACGCGTATGCGTGTGCGCTTTTGCGTGCGTAAGTGCGTCTAAAACAATGTGCGTGTCACGGAGAATTACCTGCGATTGGGGGCCCTGATGGCTGGAAATTATGTATGTGGCCCATGGCATGTCCGTGGCATGCCCCGCGTCAAGGATTAGCAGTAACGGGCTGTTTGGAGCAAAACAGGCAACGCCTGGTTAATCGATAGTATCCCTTCGAGAGAACTCCACATTTGTAGATTGTCGTGGAAGGTGGGCCGGAAAGTTGGCTCTGATTCCTGCGCTATCTAGCTATGAGCCCTACACGTGCCTGGTAATCTTTGACCCTTTCGTGGAACTGGCTGCTGGAGCCCGGCGGATTTCCGACGCGGACGGGAATCTTGCGAGGGATGCTCGGAGCTGGGAACTCCACTGGTACTGATGTTGCTGCTAGGGATGGCGGATGTAGCTGCGGGTGAGGCGAGCGGCTGTCCTTTAACAAGCTCTGGATGTCTGTGCAGGAGCAAGGTGGTTCTGAACTTCCGCGGGAAAGGTGGGTGAGTGTGAATGGGAATGGCTTTGGCGCAATACAGTTTTGGGTAATGCAAGGAAAGGCAACGCATGCAGTGAAGCTTCTGAAATTACTGCCAAGGTATGCAAGGTGAAAGTAGTGCACGTGCTATGGAGGAGGGAGGACTTGAGGGCGAGGCTGACGATGCATGAGGCTGAATATCTCTGCTCTGGCAGGCCAAAAGGGTTTCGGGAGGCCAAATTAGGAACTGTGGACCGCGGTCGGGTCCCGGCCCGAACTGATGAGGGCTGTTGGTGGTTAAGTGCGACTGTGCTTTCCTGATATAGTGACAGCGCGGACCAATGCGAGGCGTTGCTTCTTGTGCACCTACCGGCCTAGCGCCTAGGGTCCTCAGGAGTCCTGCTCGTTTTCGCCTCTCTACAAGCAATTAGTGACGTCGTGCAACGCACTCTTTGAGCCCTGCTGCGCTGTGTACGTGTGTGCAAGTGTGTGCAGTCGGCGGTACATCCTCTGTTTTCTTTCTGGCAGCTTTCGAGCATTTTCGGACAAGGATACCTGTACATATCATCTGCTCCATCTCCTGGCACTGTGACGGTGCGTGGCAGATAATAGTACTAAGGCCCAGGCAGCACCTGTTGGCAGCCGCTGGTTGGGTTGCAGTCGCGGTCGTGGCTGCTTTAACAGATTCTCTAGGTGGGTTAGATGGCTCTGGGGGGAACCTCTGGAGCGCGGGCTACTTGCATAGTGCATGTTACCGAGTGTTGTGTTCCTGGTTTGGGGTTCGGTACCGTTCACGCCTTTTGTGTAAGTAGATGAGGCAACACGTAACGTTCCGCCGGTCTCTCGTCTCTGGCCTGCATGGCTGACATATTTTGCATTTTAATGCATGTGGTAGATAGTTGGCCAAGGTGTTAAAGGAACGGTGTTGACTGTGCATGAAGTAATAATGATGTTGGTTATGGTGCTAAGAAAAGCTTTGTGAGCAGTGGTATGCGAAACGTGGTCGCCGGTACCTGTCAGATCTGCGTGGGTGGATTTGCGGGTGGTTTATGATGTCCTTCGCTTTATATCCTTCCCGAACTGCTTGCGGGTGGCTTGTACTTCATGCCCGTGTGTTGTGTGGCTGTAATGTAGTACGTACGCCTCTTGTGTTGGTGCTCTCTACTCGGCTGGTTGCTCCCGGTCGCTTTTTTTCCCCTGACGGATGCCGTTCTCGCCCCTGCCGTAAGAGGCGGGGTTACCTAAGTTATTTGGCTTTGTTTGGTTCTGTGACCACGATTTCGGCGATGGCTCTCCATCGCCCCGTAATTAATCACTGTTTGCTGGTAGTCCGGGGCCGGGGCGGGTCGGCAATATGTGTGATATGTTCTTCGGTGGTATTGTGCTGTTCTTCGGTGCTTTGAACCAGGGCGCGCGGGGTTTCACAAGGTGGTTTCCCACGATGAATGACAGTAAAGCGGACGGGTGTGCGGACTCATAAAGCAAAAGCAGAAGCCCTGAGGTGGGCACGCACGAGTGGAAATGACCGCCGTGCTGCTGGGGGGCTCTCCAGAACCAGCTTTGCTAATCAGTAAATGGAGCGCATGGTGCGTTTTCGAGTCATGTGTATATGTGTGTTTGATAACATGGTAACTGCTGCCTGCACAGGCATGCATGCGTGTCCCCGTTCCGTGTCTACGGGTGCTGCTTTATTTACATGGGATGTGTCTCTCCGCGTGTTCATGTTCATGCCTGCATACGAGTATTCAATTCCTCTGTGACGCGCGCGTTAACGCTAGGCGGGCGGGGTGGGGGTAAGGCGGTGGGTTGGCGGTGGGATGTAGTGGGCGCGTATTAAAAGCAATAACACAGCTACCCACTGGTCGCTGTGTTGCTGCTACTGGTGGTATTATCACAACGTACGGTTGTCGATGGGTAGTGGATAGCATACTGCACCGGCTTGAGCCATTTTCAAATTTTAATGGGGTAGTAATCTGCTTCCGACCGAACAATTAAGTTAAGCCCTGCTGCAATTATTCACTCACTCGCAATATCAGCGCAGCCGCAACAAGAGTCCACTGCGACGTTTTGGAATTTGATTCTGGCGCCAAGTGCTGATAGAACCCACCAGAAGGAAGGGCTGCACGCGAAGGAAGAAGATGTGTGAAGGTGAAAGTATGAAGGCCCGTGAACCGTGAAGCATTGCCGTTTTAAGAGACCATGGAACTGCGACCCAGTCCTGCACCAGTGCAGACACCCTTGCAGCGCCACGCACCGTGGTGGCAGTGCCTGCAGATGCTAACTCTGTGGTGTACAGCAGTCTTCCACCTTGGTGGGTGTGGCCGGCGGCAGTCACAGACATGGCTCCAGTAACACTGCCAAACAATATGCCGAGCACCATTCCAACCAACATGCCGATCGCCAAAAAACACTGGCCGCTGTGCCCTCCGCCATGCTGACCGTGGCACAACCCGCAGGCACTTGTCACTGCCGGGGCAACTGACACAAAACTCAGCCCAGGAGTTCGTTGCCACAGGTGAAAGACCGGAAGGTTGATACGGTGACGCATCCAAAATTTTGTGTAAAGTGCTATGCTTTATTAAATTCGCATAGCTAGGATGTCATTTGGCAGAGCGAGAACCCAATAATCTGTCCAATATCAATTGTAGGCTCATCTCGGCTCGGCGGCTCGACGGCTTGGCGGCTTGGTGGCTTGGTAGCGAGGCCGGAAGGTTGGAATGGTACGGGGTAGGGAAGGGGAGCTGGTGCATATGTGTGCAAGCGCATCCGCATAGGGGCATCCGTATGTACGCATATGCATGTGGGCATTCGCATGTAGGCATATGAGGCTTCCAGGCACGCACGGCGCCTGTATCGACGGATACTGGGCGCTCACGGCGCCTGCATCGACAGCTCCTATCATCACCCTTTCGTTGTCATGGTCTTCATTCCCTCCTTCATCACCGTCGCACCGCGGCCGCATCTCGTGCGGCCGACCCATGTACCACCGCTGCTACGTCGCCAGATGAAGCTACATGTAAGTATACGTGTACCATTAATAGGGCTAGGTTTCTCTGCTGGCGATGGTGGGATTGATCAGGGGTAGGGAAGGGGAGCCGGTGCATATGTGCACAAGCGCATCCGCATTTAAACATCTGACATTAGGCATCCGCATTAAGGCATAAGCATGTACGCATATGGAAATCCCCCAAGGCACGCATGGAGTCTAATTGAGGCAGCCAGGCGCGCAACTCTTTCGATTCGGGACATATTTCTGGCCCAGGCGCATGTATGGAGAGACCCGTTGTTGCCTGTGCTGTATTCAGAGGTGATGCGGGACGTGAAGGGAGAGGCCGTGGTGCGGTGCGTAAAGGCAAAGCCTGTGGTGCGAGGCATGAAGGGTGAGCACTTGGAGCGGCGCATGAAGGGCGAGCCCGCTGGACCAGAGGCTGCATGGCTGGGATCAGCGGTACCCCGGCTGCACCCAGTCCCTGCATAGCTCAAAGGAATAGCGGCACATCGAAACATGACCAGTGTGATGAGGTTATGGGGTTGCACCGGGCTGGTCAGAGTTTATGTTTGGCCATGGGTTCTAAATGTGTGTTTCCTATCACCCCCCTGGACCCTTAGTATGTATACCTTTCCCCGCACTGAGATTTACGATTTCACCAAGTCAAAAACCCGGCGGAGGACAAAAAGGTCACCACACGGTCAACATCTCGTCACCGAGGTTGACCTGCTTGAGGACACCGCTGTCTACAAGGAAGGCGTCTATCCGTTTGACTGTCATCCCAGACGACTTCTGTACTGATCCAGCAGATCTCTATACCAGTTCGGGTCCCGCGGGCTGTCGTACACGTCCCTGTTGGGTGATGTGAGATTGGCGCTCTCCAGTAGAAAGCTGCTGCATGCCTCGAGGTAAAATGGAAGGTTCGTGGCTACTGGCTGCTGAGCTAAACCGGCTTTTAGTCATCTGCCCTTGGCCAACAGCGCCCATGTTCGTCACCGGCTCATGAAAGGCCGACATGACCACGCCGTCCACATCTTCGGCAGCTGCCCCCTAATGAGCCCCATGGCCAGAGCTGCATCCACCAAAGCAAGCAAGGGTACCTCAGCTGCTAATAGAGCTGCCACCGCCAGACAGCTCCTGAGCGGCCCCGCTGCTGCCGTGAAACTTGATGGCTGGTGCTGCTGCCGGGATGACCCCCGGAATAAGTGCCAGCACCACCTAGATACCCGGCACACTGCCCCGGAACGATTGCAACAGGTTTGTAATGTGACATACAAATGACCTACAAAGTAAACAAAAGCCCTACATGTAACGCATGCATATATAGCACAAGGAAAAGCGAGAGTTTACTTACATACCCTGCCACGCCCTGTTGCCCTGGTGTGATTGATGATTGATGCTGTATGTGTGATAGCCATGCTCGCCTAATCTTCTCGCTATTGCTCCACCTCTTCTATAGACAGTCGTCTACAACAGACTCGCCTATTTTGCAAGTAAGATTGTCCGACCATCCAGATGAACCACGCAATAGATAAGACATGCAGTAGTGCCGATCCGTCGTCGACAGAGATGCTGAGGCACACACACTTTATTCCAGAACTGTGTTTATCTTATCAGCCAGCCGCGCCTACGTACTTTTTGCTTTCCCCCCCGACCTCTTGGTTTCCTAATTCCTATCCTGAAAGGGAGGTGTTGACCCCTCACTGCCTCTTACTGCCTCCGTTCAATCCCTCCCACGGCCGCCTTCAATCGTTAAATATTACCCCTTCACCCTGCTCTGCTCTGCTGCCTAACCTCCTGCAGCCTTCTGTCTGCCATTCACAGCGCTGCCACCGCTTTCTACGCCACCCTTTCATTCCATTTTCACCATTTAATATAATGAGTTCCGACCTCGCAACCCGCTTCCTCGTCCACCCTCTCCACCGGCCAGCAACCGCTTTCAATCTTTTCCTCTTCACCCAATTCCACATCTTCGTCGCTGCCACCTTGTTACTTGCCCTCCGGGCCGCGTGACGCCCGTCCGAGTTCATCAGACTCGCCGCGACATACGACGTATGCTACGTTCCACCCCATCGGCGTACCTCCACCTCGTCCGCGCCCACCTCCATTTTCACCTCCGCCCCTGTGGGGGACCCACATGGCCTGCGCGGGTGGCGAAGAGTGGCGCGAAAGAATAGATGCACTCAATGTTTCCCCCTCATCCCCCCCTCATCCCCCCTGCCCCTCCATTGCATCGTCGTCCCAGTTGTCCTCCTCCTCGTCCTCCTCCTCCTCGTCCTCCTCCTCCTCGTCCTCCTCCTCCTCGTCCTCCTCCTCTTCGTCCTCCTCCCCCCCCGCGTCCTCCTCGCCCTCCTCCTCGTGATATTCCTTCTCCCCCTCGTCCTCCACCACGTGATGTTCTTCCTCGTCCCCTTCATTGTTCACTTGGAAGTGCCAGTCCGGCGCGTCGTCCTCATCGTCTATCCAAGGCATGTCGTGCCATGGCACATCCTCATCCCCGTTCAACCACCGGCACAAGGACCGCAGCTCCTTGCACTCATTCAGGGAGTACTCTATGTCCTCGGACAGCGCCACGGGTACCCGAACTCCGGTGCTCTCCCATTCTAGAGCTTCACGCATCATTCTGATGGACAGACGGAATTGAGGAGCGGGTCGCTAAACGTGAGGGGTGGACTGCAGGTAGCCATGTTAGCAATGCTTGGGGGGTTTACATGCAGCCGTGTGCGGAGGTAGGGTTCGTAGGAGCATGCATGCAGATAGGGCGAACATACAAGCAGTTGTGAACCATCGGAGGAGACTGAGAGTCGACAGGGGAAAAACACGTACTCTTATTATTACTATTACTATATTCTATTAAATACCTCCGATTCTGGGATAGTAGCTTGCTTAGCTTGTTATTGTGCTTCCTTAGTGCTTTGCTTGGCCAAGTGTCATGTATGTATGTAAGGTTCAAACAAGACCACACACGCCTCGCTCAAGACGGAGAGCCCGTTCCCCGACTGCCGTACATGTATACGTACGTACGTACCTGACCCGTGGACACTGTCAATAAAAGGATTTTAACCCTCGTTAGACACGTAAATACAGACAAACATACGTACACCTGGTAATCCCCTCTCTCTTTCCCCTCTCTCTCCAGACAGCCCGCCCCTTCCCCGCCCAGTCCTCACAAGTAAAGCTCCGCAATCCTGGCGCTCATGAATTCGTACAGTATGTCGATGGCGTCCCAAGGGGGGAACGTGGCGAGGAGGGAGGGGGAAGGGATGGGACCACTCGGGTCGAAGGCGCCGTTGTCGTACTGCATGGCGGCCACGTTCGTACTGCCGCATGCTTCTTTTAGCTCGTGGCCAGTTACAAGTAGGCGCAAGCGGTGGAGGTCCCCCATCTGGAGACGGGAGTAAAGTGGGAGGAGGGATTCAGAAGACGTGATATGCCGGCGGAGATCCTACGTCGGTGTGGAGCGGATGAAGCGGACCATACGAAGTGAGGACGGCGGCAGCGGTGGGTGACGACAATGATAATATAGGTCATCTGCGCCACTGCGGGAGAAAGGTGTTAAGCATTTTACGTTTAGCTTATTGTCGGGGGTACCCGCGGCACATACATCTATCAAGCCCCGAATGCTATTAGGTCCTGTAGCAGCTGGCCACTAAGAAGGTGGCCCCTCAGGATGCTGGCAGAGCACTTCAGCGCGTATTCATAGGAGATGCGTGTGCGTTACTGTACGACAGCTACTACATTGTTCCCGCTCTGAAGGGATCCATCGCCTCGGGCCCTTACGGCCACACCAGCCTGTGCCTGCCATGTCGTACACTCGGGCAGTGGGTAGTGCCAATGTACGTCAGGTCATGTGGCGCCTCACATGCGCCTAACCATCTTTGAGGCGCAACCATGATAATTCTCTGAAGGTTGTCGTGATAGGATGAGATTGACTGAGAGTTTTCTCAGTCAATCTCATTCTGTCACGACAATTCTGCAGAGAATCGTCATGGTGGGTTTGCCTGGTCGTCGCCTTGTATGTATGTAATCTATCAGGCTAAGCGACATTTCCAGGGCCACAATGTGTGCGATGCCTCGATCCCAATTACGGCAGCTTGCCGCTGAAAAAGCCTCTCAAGATGCTGGCAAAGCAATTCAGCACGTAATAATCGGTGACGTGTGTACCGTACAGTACGACAGCTACTGCACATCCTGTCCTCATTCCCTGCTGCTTTGTTGGTCAACCTGCTTTCTCAAAACAAACTTCAATGGGACAATATTTACTACATAATGGTGCCGTTATGCCGAATGGTATGCTCCTGCTGCAAAATCTGCTCCATCCCTGCCGTTCCGCTTGCTGCCCGTGCCTCGCAATCATGCTCGTACCTCTTTCACAGTGCCACTTCTACAAATCCAACTTGTGATTGTTGCGGAAATGCGTTGCCCAGCAAATGCATTGCCCTAGGTCTCTTTGCTCTTTTCTCAAGCCCTCCCCTTGCCCTACATCACCAGAAAATATTTATATAATATTAACTCGTTTACCTCGCCACAGGAGTACCTCCATCCACCATACACCAGCAAGTCAGATCCGCAGCGGACCAGCGATGCGCACATCCGCATGCCAGGGCGCTGCCCCTGGACCACCGGCCGGCCCCACACACCGCGGTCCAGGTCCAGCCAAGCGATGTCATTTCCGAGCTCCAAGGAACCCCCGAACAACACCAGCTTTGAGCCCACCAGGGTAGACGAGTGGCAGCGGCCCAGCACCCTGCATATGCAAGGATGGGCGTTTAGGGCACTGCGGGAGGGGGAGGCGGCCTATTCAAGCCATCGTGCATCACCATGATGTTGCATCCGGGGATTTTAAACGCAATCTATCTACCTCCATTTGCATCGCAATCGTTCTGGTCTGTTACAGCTCTCGAAGCTCGTTGCTTACTTTTCGTCGTGCGGGCGGTTGACGGTTGTCAGTTGGGTCCACTTCATGGAGGTTAGGTCCAGCGTGAAAATGTCGTCCAAATCGACTCCCGACTCAACCCGATGGCCACCGTTCCCACCGCCAATGACCCATAACCGGTTGCCGTACACAACCATGGAGCAGCCGAAGCGGGGACTTGGGGGACTGCCGGTGGTGACGGGATACTCCACTGTCCAGCTAGCCAGGTCGATGACTGTAATAAATGTATAAGACGTGCACAGCATGTTATGTGTATAGCATTTCGTGTTACAGGTAAGGGGAAAAAAAGTGGGGGAAGGGCGCGACGGCGCGGGGGAAGTATGGCGACGTCACAGGCTGGAACAATGAAAGGTTGCGAGTGAGGTAGAGCAGGAGGCCTCCTAGCTAGCCACCATTAGTCCCCAAGCTACGTAGCGTAGTGGCCCCTAGGGGCTAGCAGCAGACTGATGGCGAAATGGGGAGTGGCGGGGCTTAGGGGTACTAATGATGGTAGTGTTGGGGAAAGAGCTACTTTACACAGGAAGATGACTTCGGGATGGGGCAGGAGGGTTAAGGGGAACTGTGTCCGCGACTGGCCTGGAGACAGTATGAAATACAGCGACCCTGCCAGCCTTTCCAGACACCTGGTTGCCTATATAAGACTTATATTGCTTAGCTCCGCGATGAAGCCCCGGTCCCAGCTTACACCACCGACCTCAGCCATCTCACATATGCAAGGACGCACCTGTCAGTTGTGCAATGCTGTTGCGCTCCGAAATACCCCCGAACAGGAACAGCCGAAGGCCGTCCTCAGAGGCACACGCGCCATGATAGCACCGAGACCCAGGATTGGGCCCCTGCAATGTCGGGCGATACCACTCGTACTCGTACTCGTACTCGTACTCGTCCTGAGCCTCCAAGCCGTGATCGTCGTCATCGCTACCTGCTGAGCGAGTGCAAGGAAGGGAATCCATTTTCAGTTGATTGAACCCTTCTACAAAAAAGAAAACATAGCTGCGCATATGCGAAAACATGGTTGCGCATATGCGTCTTACATTTTTTTCATTGTCTAGAGATCGCACCCAGGTATATTAGGGAGGGGAGGTCCCTATCTGATACACCAGCAGGGCATATAATCTATAGGCGATCAAAATATATACAAAACGCCTGTGCATTCTACATGCGGGAGTGTGCACGCAAACATACGCGTTATGGGTCCCCAACCTCTATCGAACTCAGATGTAATTTACCTAGCTATCTGACGGTCCCGGCGGGAGCGCGACCCGCGGGTCATTCCAGGCCCACCATCCAACTCGGAACCCCCGCCCGCCTAGGGTTTTCCCCTAATCCGAATTCCTTGCAAACGCATCTACCTCTCACAATCGCTAGTGGTCCCAAGCGAACCTACGTCTACCAGGCCCTGCTGCCTGCCCTGTATATGTATGCGCACATGCATACGTACATGCGTTGCATCATCTCCAAGCAACAAAAGTCACACCTACCAGCAGTAGTAGCTGTGTACGGGCCCAAGATGACCAGCGTGTCGTTGGGGTCCATCCCAAGGCTCAGCGATCCGCCGTACACTGCCAGCAGCTCTCCATGCCGACCACACCTGGTCGCGGTGTGGCCCCGGCGAGCAGCAGGGGCCCGGCCTGCCACCCTGGGAATGCGCCACTGCCACCGGTATGGACCAGGTTCCTCACCAGGGCCAAGCCACGGTTCTGTACGGCGGCGGCTTCCAGCCTGCTTCTGATGCTGTGGGTGCTGGCTGAGTCCTGTACTGTTGCCACTGGTCGCCTCGTTGGCCATGGATGCCGCACCGCGTGCTGTTGCTGCTGCTGCTGTCGTTGACTGCACGGCAGCTGCTGGTCTGCTCGGGCCCGATGACGGCCCTGCAGGACCCACGGCATCATGGTTGTGTCCTTCGTCATCGTCGTACACTCTGTCCAGGATGAAGAGGTCGTTGTAGGATCGCTCACCCAGCCCGCCGAAGACGATCATGGAGTCACCGCGGCCCCAGGGCGCCGCAGCGTGACTCTCCCGGGGGCATGGCCGCTCCTGCTGCCGAAACTACAAAGCATGATGCCGATGTATGTGACAAGGAATCGCATCGCCTGTAAAAAAATATTTATGGTCTATTGACAGGGCCATCGCATAATAGATAGGACCGGGAAATAGGGTGCATTTCCAGTGCGGATTAAGGCCAGGGATTAGGGCACGAAAGTCCTTGGTACCAGCTTACCACATAGTTTTGTTCCATAAGGGAACCAAAGGTTGGAAAGGCGAGGTAAGTTTGCCAACAACTTAGCCGTTTGAGCAAGTATCGATGGAGGACAGAGGGCTAATCCCTGGCCTTAATCCGCACTGGAAATACACCCATAGATCGTCTATTGATCCATGGCTGGTATAGAGCGGCGCATAAATCGCGCCATGGTATATTAGATATGCCTAAAATGGAAGGTATATAGAAATTTTTATATTTTTATTCAGTCGATGATCATGGGACATGTAAATCGGCGGGATCAGCGGCGGTAGATAGAATTGCTCGCGTGGAGTAGTAGTTCGCCGCTGGTCACCCTCACTGGGAGCAGCACCCGGCAGGGACGCCTTGCACTTAAGTGAGCCAGGACAGATCAGAGCAAGCCGAAGCTAGGCAATCCAAGATAAAGAAAGCAAAGCATACCGAAGCAAGGTGCTGATGAGTAAGTTGGACTACTGCTGCAAGCTAGGGGGTATGAAGAACAGGATTTCGTTCAAACAGGACAGCTGATCAGATGATTAGCATTTCAAAATTGTTGGTTTAGAATCCCGCTACCTGCCGCCAAGGGTGGGGGTGGGCGTTTCTCTGAACTGCAAGAGCGTGGGGGTTCCGCCAAGCAGCAGTGATCAGGCAGGTGGGCCACGGAGAAGCCATTTGCGAATCCCCTATCTGTAATAACATAACGTTTTTATAATAAACTTAACGTTTTTATAAACTTAACGTTTTATAAATGTAGTCCCTCTATCTGTGCCAACAATGCTCTGAAGTCAGCGGGTCAGGTACCACCATCAGCATTATGACCTTGCTCGCTATGCATCTTCATCGTCACGCCCGCCCCCTTACCCCGCCCTGAACGACTGACTACCTCTTCTTCATCCACGTCAAATTCATGCTCTTGAATCCGCTCCCACATGCCGTATTGCAAATCATTCAGTATGTGACACCGAATGACTGTCGCCCGCCAGTCTGTGACCTGTGGAAGGAGGGGGGATGAGAGGGAGGGGGGACGGGGGGAGGGATACGGGGATTGTCAAATATTGTTATTGTATACTGGTCCACAAGTGGTCCAACAGCAGGGTCGGTGTGAGGGGAGACGGGATTGTAGGGGTGGGGGCCTCGGGGTCGAAGCCTATCGAGATGGCGGCGCCGTGCTAGAGCGAGAAAAGGGCCGGTCGTAGGTAATTGTGCATGGGGAAGACGCGCCCGCGTGGACAGCTGCATGGCTGACGCTGGAAGGGCTCGTGTGTCCGTGAATAGTCAAATATTTAAGTAATGGCTCGGTCCAGATAATGCAAGGCAAGCCAAATTCAGCGTACAGATGTTCATATTTTTATTGGCTTTACACAGGCAGGACCAGGAATAGATCGTACATAAACTCATGAGGTGTAGCGTGGTCTATAGATCGTGCCATGGTGTGCACAGTAACAACCACACACACACACATACAGAGTAGGTAATCCTGAAAATAGATGGTCTATAGACCCCAGCTCCCCCATCTTACGGACGACCCATTCTCTTTTTGCGTTTATTTGTTATTATGTTCTGCACGCAAATGGGTTCAGAGGGTGTAATGTCCGCACATACAGCTGTTGTCGCTGAGGCAAAGAGAGCTGCTTTATTGAATCCTAGACGCATGCGTGGGAACAAAGCAACCCATAGGTGATCGGAGTAGCAGTAACGTAAAATAAACAAGTGGTGGCTATATCGCAGATAACAAAGTGTATACGGAGGAAACCTATGCATGCATGCGTTGTTAAGCGAAAGGTAGAGCGAGCGAGTTGTGCGTACGCAAGTTCGTGTGAATACCGCAACTAACATAATCATTCGAACAAGGCAAAACTTGATATAAATCATGCATCTGGAAGGTCATGCAGCAGGCTGAGGGACTGCAGTAGTCACACTCGCTAGCTACCCGCAGCTGGCAACCAACCAACTTGAACGTCGGGAAAAAAAAGAAGGTGCGACGGCCGGCGGCGAGGTGCGAAGCAAGGCGATGCATGGCAGGACCTGTACTTGCGACAACCTGCACTAGCAACCTCGCCCAATAATAAGCGATAGTATGTGAAGGGCTCTATGGGTGCCAGGAGTCATCAGGAGGCATGCTCGATATATATGTATGTGCTATATGGGCCAGCAAACGAACCTAGCTGCCTGCTGCGTGCATATCTGCTTCCATCTTCTGACTACTTAGAGGCCAAGGATCTATCAATATTATCCAACAGATGGACATACATGTACACATGTGTACATGTACGTATAACGGCACCTGCTCTTGTGGCGGCAACTCCTTGACGCGCTTGCTTAGCAAGTTATCGTACATTAGTCGCCACACAAGGCTGTTGCCCTCTACCACCAAGCGGAATTTCTTGCATGTGAGGCTGGCGATTATCACCTGAATGCATGAAGCAAGGAGAAGCGCGCGGGGAAGAAGGGGGAAGGAAGGGGGAAAAACGAGGAGCGCGAGGGAGGAGCGAAGCAACGTGGGTGTCGAGAATAAAATACTGCAAGGCGATGTGAAAGATGAACATGGCCAATTGTAGAGATCTTATGTGCGTGGGAGTGAAAACTTTCACTTAAAACGTTCGTATTTGGCGGAACGTCGTCGTATGGTTGCGCTACAGTAAATACGGTACCATACATACGACATATACATACATGCATGAATCGCCATGTAGCACATACATACACCGGCATGTAAAGGTTAATAAAGATAAACAAGCCGCAATGGATACAGGTTGCGCAGTTATGGAGCACATGTTACATGCTATGCTTTGAGCAAGGTCAGCCCCAAAACCTGGTTCCTTTTCTATGAAACTAGCATGTACAATAGCAGTTTTCAGCGGCAAGCATACGTTTGTGGGGCCAAGTAACACCGCACCAAGATAAACGCTTACAGCAGCCACCTACGATTTCGCTCGTGGAGCTACGGAGATAACCATGTGTGCGTTTGGAAAGTTGTGAATCGAATAATGCAGCCCCTAGTACCTACCGCGCGCGCATGGTCCCGCGGACTATACATCTACCGCCGAAACGCACGACCATCAGGACCGCGATTGCTCACCTCTTGGGGATTCAAGTCTTTGAATATAAATGCAATGATGTCTGTATCCAGCTTCGTCAAGGTGCCGGCGGCGGGCCTCGCTTGCTTCGCATCCATTGGCATGGCCGAAGTTTTTCACGCCAGCGGTCGATCGTGATGTTATTAAGACTTTATTTGCTTTATCAATGTATGTCTGAAGTTTGAGTATGTTGCTGTAGTGAATGTTGGCATTGCGCGATGTATGTATGCGATCCCACCGACCTGCCTGCCACGTCGAATGCGGATCCGGGGCCTTATCACCTGCCTCGAAACGCACGTCCGCAGGGTTGTAACATACGAATGCGTTATACAATCTTACACTGAGTGTTCGCAAAAGTTCGTCCCGGTACCGTTCATTATGCAGGACTGCGCCGTTGCACTGGATGCGTGATTACTAATCTGCGTTTCCGCGTAGTAACGCATGTGCACGGCGCACAGCTGCCATGCCGCCATGCCGCATTCCTACCATTTCTTCTCCCTGCCCGACAAAAGCTGCTCCCTAGCTACTACTCACGTTATCCGGCTTTCCTAGCAAGCATTATGCAGAACCCAGTTTCCTAATAGGTTCCAGGAGTACCCTGATTTCGAGCGAGGCCCTTAAGAGCCGGGAATGAATTGAAGACGATCTTGGGATTCCCAAGCGTGGGAAAGTCTAGCAGTAGACAACTACTACAACCTAATCCGCAACTGGAAGCAGGCCAAGAAGGAACTCCTGCTGACTTCGCGTGTCATACGCCTTTACACCCCGCTTCTACTCAACATTTGGGACTTACCCAATATGCGTGTTGCGGCACAAGGGAAGGCAACCCTTTCCAAGTAGGCCAGTGATTTTTTTCGTTTAGGGTCTCAATTTATTCCAAGGTAAGTAACAAAGTTGCTAGGGTTGTCGTAATTTATTCCTTAAGTGTGAGGCCCTGGGGGGGACTCCGGCCCCTCCCACCACCACCACCCCGATCCCCCCCCCCTAAGTTGCAACTCCCCTCGTTTGTCACTTGCTTTGTCTGAAGTGCGAGGTAGGCGATCTGGCAGCCCTTGAGCCCTAGGCTCGTATTACGGCGGTTTGCAGGTACGGGGAACGCACCCACGACCATGTAATACACACACACACAACTCCCCCGTAGACCAAGAGTCACGCACTGAGTTGGCGCGTTTCCGTTCGTGCGTGCACTCTTCGTGCACATGCGTAGATAGTTCTGACACCCTTATTTGTCTGTCGTCGAGAGTTGTGCGCCTTATGTTAGGCCTTATGCCGGTCCCAGTGCAGGTGGGTTGAGGCTGCAGCAGTACGACAAGTAAAGGTCCCTTCTCCACATTGCGCACTAGAAATCCCCGCATTTCACCCGTCCACCTATCCTTTCTTTCTCACACTTCTCCCTCCTCCCGCAACCTCATCCCCACAAAAACAAACCTCATCCCCAGCCCCCCATCATCCTTCTATACTGCGCACCCACCCGGAATCAATCTCAATCGTACAGGCCTCAGGTCACCTGGGGTAACAGGCATGTATGCGTGTCCCCGTTCCATGTCTACAGGTGCTGCTTTATTTATGTGCGATTGGGAGCCTTGCATCTCACCGACCTTTTTCCTACGTATGGGTTTCCTGGAAGTCTGTTTGCTTAACAAAATAGTGCGTGGCTCTGCGCGTGTTCGCATGTGTAATACGGTTTTTCGTGGAGTAGTTGCCTTACCGCTTAGGGATCGTCCAGGCGGAGAGGTACCTGCAGGCAGGGAAGTTGTGCTTGCTTCCGTAGGTGGGGGCAAGTATGGTCACCGAAGCGACTCTGCTGCTGTACGCTGTAGATTAGGCAGAAGCCGCAGCGGAAACCTGTCAGTACTGACACTATGAACTCGCAAAATTACTCTTTCCGTCGCACTCCTGCGACTTACTCTAGCCCTGTACGGTCCAGCCGTACGCATTAATGACATTCCGAGTACGCTCGCGGTTTTGTTTCGTTTCATTCAAGAATCTACACTTTTCAGCAGTTCCTCAGGGTTGCGTGCGTTATTATTAACGCTTATCGGGGTCATCTGTATAAATTAAACATACCAAGCGAAGACGTCTCTAGTATTCAGTTATGGAAAATATGAAGCCAAATTTTGTTTTTATAAATAGCTTACAAGAAATTAATTATAAAATTAAATTGGCTTTCAGCACTCTGGGAAAAGCCATCGTCCATAAATGGTTCAGGATCCATATTATGGGGTTTCCTATCCGTGAAATGGGGTTTCCTATCCGTGAAATGGGTTCCCTATCCGTGAAATGGGTTCCCTATCCGTAAAATGCACTTCTGGCGGGATATGGATTGCCCGAACTGCACTTGTTTTTGGTGTCTATTTTCACAGGTACATACTTCTATATTGACACTTCTTGCTTGTAATGCAGCAGCACGTCAGGAGTGCCATCCTCAGTCTGTCTTCCATAAAGCGTTGCTCGTCTTCCATACGGTACTTTGTTTCCATAGTGTCCCACTCGCCTTCCATAAAATGCATTTTACCGGGCCAGGGAATTAATTAATAGAGGAACACGTTTTTGTAAGGACATGCTTCGGAATTGACAGTGCTTGCTATTATTGCATCAGGGAGCTCTGGCCGCGGCAGCAGTGTCATCCTCTGGCCGCGCCAGCGTCGTCCTTTATTCCTTATGCCCAGTTAACCCAGCTTAATTGCATTATAATGCAAGCTGTTTGGCAAGTTGGGCATTACGCCCAGTGCGTAACTGTCGGACAAACCGTTTCTCAACGGCCCGTGTCCTCAGGGGCATCATTAACTGTGTGCAAGAATCTGATAAGCTGAGCTTGGCTTTTGATGTTCAGCACAAGCTTAGCATGAAAATGGGTCTCGCACCGCCATAAGGCCCTTCCTGTTGTTGCCTCTCTTCTCCATGATTTGTAACA